TGGTGGGGACAGCAGAGTGCGGGGACGGGCAGAGGGCCCCTGCGCAGGGGACAGTGGAGACACGGGAGCGGGCAGACGATTCCTGCTGGCGGCCCTGCGTGGCTTTAGGTGTGTGCACAGGGCCCCGCGTGTGTGTGCGTCCACATTAGTGTACTCATCTGACACACGAGCGACCCGGAATGTGGGCCACAGTGGTGGCTTCTGGTCACACTTCCAGCGGGGGAAAACAGGTTTCCCATTCACGATGGACAATGCCGTGGACACAACCCCACTGCCCGCCTGCCTCTGGCAATGCCCAGGGCACAGGGCGCTGCAGATGACTGTGCCCCGCAGACGGCCCTCGGGTCTGGGGTCTCGGGGGGAGGGCTGTGCCCGCAGACAGCCCTCGGGTCTGGGGTCCCGGGGGGAGGGCTGTGCCCCGCAGACGGCCCTCGGGTCTGGGGTCTCGGGGGGAGGGCTGTGCCCCGCAGACGGCCCTCGGGTCTGGGGTCTCGGGGGGAGGGCTGTGCCCCACAGACGGCCCTCGGGTCTGGGGTCTCGGGGGGAGGGCTGTGCCCGCAGATGGCCCTCGGGTCTGGGGTCCCGGGGGGAGGGCTGAGCCCGCAGACGGCCCTCGGGTCTGGGGTCCCGGGGGGAGGGCTGAGCCCGCAGACGGCCCTCGGGTCTGGGGTCCCGGGGGGAGGACTGAGCCCGCAGACGGCCCTCGGGTCTGGGGTCTCGGGGGGAGGGCTGTGCCCGCAGATGGCCCTCGGGTCTGGGGTCTCGGGTGGAGGGCTGTGCCCGCAGCCTGGCACTGGCGCTGACAGTGTGGAAGGTCCGCCCTGAGGACCAGGTCAGGAAGCAGACGGGCTCGCACCCCCTCCTGACCTCTGTCCAGCCCGGGCTGGGCGCAGACTCGGTGCAGTGGCGCAGTCTGAACCGCGGCCCCCGCAGCGGGGAACACAGTCCCGTCGTCACAGGACCTGCGGACTGAGTGGGTTTCTCTCCAGGAGGCTGCTGCTCCCCAGCAGGGAGGAGACCGCGGTGGACCTCGGTCAGGAGAGTGCTGGGGTCCTGCCGGTCACTGTTCTCACTGGCACGGGGTCTGGTTCCCTGAGGGATGGGGCGAAGGGTCCCGGGAAGGGATGGTGGGGGAACAGGACAGCCTGTCCTGCCGTGGGCGGGTCACGTGAAGGCTGTTCTAGCCAAGGTCCCTAAACAGGGGAGACTGGGGACAGGGACAGGGGCCCGTGACTCCGTCCCCACAGAACAAGGTCCCCTCCGCATCCTGACTCCCCACAGGCCCCTCTGCTCTGGAGGCTGCTCCGGCTCAGACGGTGCCAGGCTGAGCGGGGGTGGGGATGGCTGTCACTCAGCCCTTGGTGACGCTCTGAAAGCCCGTGTCCTCACTGAGCATCCCCCCCGCCGTGAACTCGGGCCCAGAGACACCCAGGCCTCCACCTTTCGTCGGTCTGAGGACGCGCCTGACAAGGGGCTGGACCACTTGTGCACGTGGGGCTCCGTGTGAGCCCTGCAGAGCCGTCACCCCGGTCCCGAGGGCTGGGGACAACCCTGAGGGCAGGCTGCAACCTCAGGGGCGGGTGACAGCCGGCAGCCGGGGTGGAGGGGGGCTCGAGTCGCAGCACTGCCGGCCCGTCAGCAGGAGACGGCCTTCTCCCCACATGTGGTCCCCCCCACCCCGTGGAAAGTGTCACAGCAAAACAACGATGCTTTGAGCGACACCGGACCACGTGAGCACAGCCGGGGGCTCCCCCGGGGTGAGCAGAGGGGCACAGCACCCCACGGGGTGGGTATACCGAACCTCTGAGCCCCGTGACATGAACAGGGTGCAGGGGCCTCTCCAGATCCCATGACAGGCCCGGACGCCCCTGTGGGCCCTGCCCGGGCCCCGCGCTCCTGCCGTCACCCTTGAGCCCTCGGCCGGAAGGGTCAGTGTGCACTGGTCTCCGCTGTGCCGGGCACCAGGGCAGGGCAGACGGGTGGACCCGCCCCTGCTGCGGCCAGGGTGGGGGCGGCAGCAACACGGCCGCCCACCGGGGAGGACAGCGCGCATGCGGACGGCCACGCGGAGGCCAGGCCCCGGGTGAGGGCTCGCAGGAGCCTGAGGTCCGGCCTGTCTGCTCGGCCCCTGAAGCTAAAGTGAGTCTTCTCTTCAGTGTCCAAAGCTCCAGGCTTCTTTGCTAAACGTGCTTCTCAGCAGTTCAGGCTGCGTCTCAAACACCCAGGCATGAGCTCAGCCAGAGAGCTGGGCGCCTCTCAGAGGCGGGCGGGTGGGGGCCCGCAGGCGGGGCCTGGCGGGAAAGGACCCGAGAGCCACCCGCCTAGACTGTCCCCAACCCTGAGGACTGGAGTGGGAGTAAAACCCGGCCGCGGCCGTTAGAAGCTGTTGGGGACTGAGACACTGAAACCCTCCTGCGCCCTGTTGGAAAAGGACAGGACGCTGAACAGTGGTTTCCAGGTCTGACGTGGTCGTGCGTGAGAGCTGAGGCCCGGAGACCCCCGGACGCCGACTCCTCAGACGCAGCCATCTGCGTGACGGGGGCCTCCCCCCAGCAGACCTGCAGCCGAGGCCCCATCTCCTCTGGAACCGAGACCCCCCTGCTGACTTCAGTCCCTGCTCAGTCTCCACAGAGCCTGCGCCTCGGCCCGCCCAGCACACCGCGGGACGGGGCCTGTCTCAGCCACTGCTGGGCGATACGTTAGCTTCCCGTCCGGTGCCGTTTCGATTCTCCGGGTAACGAGGTGATGAATATTCTTGTTCCCCGTCTTTCCCCACCTCGATTACTTCCGTACACAATGACGCTGACGGCCCACGTGGACAGGAGATCTCCGAGGGTCGCGCGCACGCTGTGGTCTGGACCCGAGTGAAGGCTCCAGGGGTCTGTTATCTGATCCGTCCTGACCTTCCGTGGTCTGCAGCGCTTTCTGCAGCCTGTGCACCTACCTCTCTGTAGGCGGGTGTCAGGTGGTGTGCGGCCTGCTGCTGCCAGACGGAGGGGCAGGCAGGGCCCAAAGCACCACGTGGGCAGAGAAGACGGGAAGGGGGGGGTGGGCAGCGGCGCACAGATGCCCTGCTCTGGCTGGGATGTTGGCTTTGGTGACTCCAGAGGGTCTCAGAGCCTGCACTCAGCCCGTGCCGGCGCCCTCTGTCCCCGCAGGAAGGGACGTGGGCAGGAAGCACGGCCCTGCGGACGCCCCTCTGCAGCAGCGGCTGTGGCCCATGGATGACAGGCACAGCATCCAGAGCACTGAGCCCGGCCACACGGGACCGTGTTGGCAGCCGAAGCCTGCTCATCTGAAACCCGTCCGTGTCTGTGCCCCGGGCAGACCCGTGGCTGAGGACGCAGCCGCCCCCGCTGTGGGGAACGGCCCAGCCCTGTGCAGCCTGCGGGACCGAGCTCAGGGGAGGCACCCGAGGGGCTGGCCTCCAGATGGAGCGGGGGTTTCTTGGACCCCTCTCCTCTAACGTCCCTCGCCGCCAGCCCCACCGACACCCTCGCCTTCTCAGCCTGTGACTGAGGGACGCCAGACGCCTGCAGACGGGCGCTGACCACTCTGGACTACACGCGTGGGCGCTGTGCCAGCTGTCCCGAGTTGCTCTCCGCAGAGGCCGGGCGCCGGCTCACGGATCACGAGATCGTTATTCAGTCAGTCCTGGCTCCTGGCTGTTCCCTCGCCATGTGACTCCCAAGTGGAGCACGGCCTGGCTCTTCTCCCCCTCCCTCCCCCGCAGGAAACCAGGGGTCCTGTCCAGGATGTGTGCCCCTCAGGTGGGCACAGGCAGCACGGTCACTCACGTCCACCCCCTACTTGGAAAGATGTCTGGAGAAATCTCGGCCTCCCCGTCACCACCGACCCAGGAAAACATCCACCGTTTAAACGAGGGTTTCCGCTTGTCTCGGGCCTTAGGTAACGTCTCGCTGCCTTCCCCACTGCGTCCCGAGCTCCCTTCACGGGGGAGCAGGGCAGAGGAAGGTCATGGCCCTGTCGCCCAAGGCTGTCCCCTCCACCAGTCCCCCACCCCCACCCCCACCCCCAGCGCAGGCTGCCAGGGCCCCAGCCAGGAAACCCAGGCCGACCCTTGCCAACGAGGACACCACCCCAGCGGCACCTGCTCTGGGGGAGCAGTGCCCCCCCCGCTTGCCAACGCAGTTTAATTGCAGCTGGTTTTCAAAGCCCCCGACACACTGAAGGTCGGGCACCTCCGCCCCTACTGCCGTCGCTGTGGGCAGACGGGGCAGAGGGCCTGCTGTTGGCTGGAGCGCCCTCCACCAGCTTGGGCAACAAAAAGTGCCGACGAGGTGGGGGAGGGGACCAGGAAAGCACCCTGACCGGCCTCCTCCCCAAGCCGACCAGCCCGGGCCACACGCCCGTCCCGCGTGGCTGCCCGAACGGAGCGGCGCTCCAGCAAGATCCACGTGGGCTGCGAGGACTGGCCCTGAAGGAAGAATGTGAACCGTCTGCGTCTTCTTCGGTATCGATGCTGAACAGACAACATTCTGGGCTGAATGAAGTTAGTTAGTTAATTCCATGTTTCCTTCATTTTATCGTGGCTCCTAGAAGCTCTCGCCCTGGGACAGGTGTCTGGTGGACGGCGCAGGTCCGGCCACCACGGCTCTCGTTTGCCCTCAAAGCCACCTCCCCTGCCTTCACTCGCGTCTGCCCCAGACGCGCGACCATCGCCAGGCGGCAGTCAGTCCCACACGGAGGGCGAACGTCGCCCCATCGCCCTTCGAGCCGACAAGCCCCTCCCCGCAGACACCCCTCTACGGCGCACGTCAGAGGACAGGTGACTGCAGCCGTGCCGGACACTCTGCAGCAGCTCTGGCGCCTGGATTTTACGGGGCGGTGACCACGGGCCCCTAATCTGCTGTGGCTGTTGGTTTGACCTGGAGAAACTCGAGAATGAAGCCTGTTCCCACAACCTCAGGTGCAGAGCGGAAATTCCATGCAGATCTCTCAGCACGAGCGAAGAAACAAGTCACGTCATCACTACCATATGGGTCACTTCTGTTTAATTAAGAAACTCATATTTTAACAGAGCAACAAACTACAATGTCAGCAGAAAAACCAGGACAGTTGAGTTCCTAGAAACTGCCTTAGATGAAACAGGTGAAGAATTCAACAAAGTATTTATTGAACAAATGCGAAATAAATGAACTCGGGTGTCTCAGCCTGAAGATACGATAAACAGCTTCAATACTCAGAGCTGTCGCGCGGGGACCGAAGGCCTGCTCGGCGGTCTCCAGGAGGCAGACGAAGGGGATGAACCCGGCCCAGCGGGCCGCGGCACGGCACAGTGTCCCTTGTCTCAGCAGCGTCTTCCGCACAGGCCTTCCTGCATCCCTCCTCCGAAGGAACAGCACGTGACACGGCTCTGAACGTGCACACGCACACGAGAAGAATCTAGGCAACAGTCTGGTTTGCCAAGGACAGCGTCAGCCCCTCACCGGAGCTCAGGGTCCTGTGCCAGGGACTCGGACGGGGAGGGAAGAGCGTATTCTCCAGAGGGTGCGTCAGGATCACCCGGCTCAGCACGGCCTCCGAGGACAGCCCCCCTCAAACCTCAGCTGAGTCCCTACCAGGACCGAGGGTGCGAGGGGGAGGGGCGCAGGGCGGGGGCAGCCGCAGCAGAGCACGGAGGGCACGAGGCCGGGAGGTGTCCTCCCAGCCCCGAGACACACTGACCGTCACCCTCACGGCTCCCCCCGGACGGTCAGCCACCAGGTGAGCTCGTCCCAACACTAGTCAGCATGGTGCTTAGGGACAAATACATATAATACGCTTTATATTACATCTGCATTTTATCACACACTCAGTACGGAATGCACCCAACACAACGAGAACACAGTATGCATCCGTCGGGACACAGGACCGCGGAGGAGCGTGCACCGGACGCGCCTCAGTTCTCCAGGAACGCCACGTAGTCGGTGAGCCTGGCCAGCTGCTGCTCGTTGGGGATCGGCGGCACCGGGGCGGGCTCTGTGTGCAGAGGGAGGGAGTGCGCAGTGAGCACGGCCCCGGCGCCGCCCCCCGCCAGGCTCTTCAATCTGACAGGAAGAACTCTCCCAGATGTGCCCTGATTTTGCCACTTTTGGAAAACAAGCCCGGAAGCTGCAGGACTGTGTGGCGTGGGCCTCTGTGGACAGACCACCGAGTGCCCTCCAGGGATGGGCCCTGCGCTAGGCGGGCATCACACTGCCGGACAAAAGCACACAGAACCCACTGCCAAGGCCGGCTCTCCAGGTGGCACATGCCAGCCTGGGATGCTGCTGAGACCCGATCACGGCTCCCCACCCGCCACTCAGGAGGCGCCACGGCGGGGCCCAGGGTGCAGTGCTCAGGGTGAGCTGCGGAGGGGCCCCCACACGCTGACTCTGCCACCAGGTGTGTTACTGTGAGTACCAAAGAATTTAATCTCCGAGATTAGAACAAAATGAGACATAAACCACAGGCAAATTAAAAACAATGAAACATATTAAATGAGCACGTGAAAATACATACCTGATAAAGGAATAAACCTGTTAAAGGAAGCGTCCAGGGCCCCTGCAACTACATAAGCAAAATTTAAAGTCCGATTAGAGTTGTCACCAACAACTCCCATCCTAACGCGATGGCGCACTTCTGGACAGAGGAGACCGAGGAGACCGTGCCGCACGGGACTAGCCTTCCGTGCCCTCACCCCACAGGGCACGGATCTGCGCAGCACAACCCTGTGGAGGGCAAGGCCCCGGCACCGGGGGCGTGCTGGGCAGATGGAAGCGCTACCGGGCAGAAGCCGGGCTCAACCCCGGCAGGAAGGGGCCGCCTGGGCAGCGGCAGGACTGTCCGCCTGGGCAGAGGGAGGCGGCGGGGCGGGGAGCGCAGCCGGGCCACACGGCCAGCCCACCGGGGTGAAGCCCCTTGACAGGAAGCCCAGGTCACTCAATTCTGTGAGGGTGGGAGACACTGAAGTCTGGTTTAGAAGAGTTTACGTGTCTACAGTAAAGAGGGAAAAGGAAAATCTGAGTATTAAAAACTTCTGAAGGCAACAGTTTAGACTTAGGGATGAACACAGAAAGAGCTCCACAAAGAGAACGGCAGGTTCGTGTTTAGTAAAAATTAAACTGTAACAGGAATGACAAAACCCTGCTAAAGTAGCTGACAGGAGAAACACACGTTGGATGAGGTGAAACTAGGTGACCTTCAGGCCCCTTTCAGCCGTGTCCATCACTCTGTCTAACATGGGAGTTGCTTTCACCGTCAGTACAGTAGTTTTGCGTCAGATCTGAAGCTAATGTGGCCACAGGAGCTCGGGCTGCGTGCACGGGCGGAGAGCGCCACCTACCTGGCTTTTTGGGCATCACCATTCTCGTGGTGGAGTCAGCTTGCCATCCTTGCTCTAGTATACCTAAAAATGCATTTAACACAAAAATGAAGAAATAATCAAAAAACCCCATTGTCATTTACCGTCAACGGCATCACTCTTTCGGGAGACCTGTCATGTGCAGTTTTAGAAGACACACTAGAGACAGCGACCTCACGCAAACTGAATCTGAAACATCATGAAACACAGCAAATCTCCGCTTCACGGTATCAGCTGGTGTAACGACTAGAGACGACGGGCCTTCCGTACAGCACGCATTAGGCTATTAACACGATCCACGTTATTAAAAACAGACATGAGCCCTGGCCGGTTTGGCTCAGCGGTTAGAGCGTCGGCCTGCGGACCAGAGAGACCCGGGTTCGGTTCCCGCTAAGGGCACATACCTCGGTTGCAGTTTGTCCCCGGCCCTGGTTGGTCGTGCGGGTGGCAGCCACTCGATGTGTCCCTTTCACATCAATATTTCTCTCTCTCTCTCCCCCTCTCTCTCCCTCCCACTCTATCTGAACAAAAAAATAAAAAAATGTCCTCGGGTGAGAATAAAAAAAAAACACAAAAAAACAGACATGAGGGCCCTGGCCAGTTTGCTCAGCGGTTAGAGCGTCAGCCCGCAAACCAGAGAGTCCTGGGTTCGGTTCCCACTAAGGGCACGTACCTCGGTCGTGGTTTGTCCCCGACCCCGGTTGGGGTCGTGTGGGTGGCAGCCACTCGATATTTTTCTCTCTCTTCCTCCCTCTCCCTCCGGCTCTATCTGAAGATAAATGCAAAAATGTCCTCAGGTGAGGATAAAAAAAACAGCCAAGGAAGACTCACGCAGTGTGGAGCCGGGTCAGTGAGCGCGACGGTGAGGGGACGCCGGGGCAGCCGACGCGCACACCGCCCGCAGGTGCACTGGTGCTCTGGCCGCCCCGCGCACCCTCACAGCGCTCTCTGAAGCAGGACACGGCCACAGCTCAACAGAGGTGGGCAGGGCGGGGGGAATTCCAGCGACTTGTCCTAGGTCACAGCCAGCAGCGGGGGTGGGACCACACTTCCACCCAGGATGGACCCTGGGTACAGTCTTTATTAGAGAGCAAATTATGGATCCCTTTCGAGAGAAGTCGAGTAAGTAAACACATGCTTTACGCTGAGAACTTCCACTAACCTGCTCCCCGGTGCCTAGCGCTGAGCTAGGCCCTGGGGACTCACGAGTAAGGTGTGGCTTGAGCCCGTTCGGCTGGAAAGTAAAAATGCCGATCACGGCAAAACAGCACCGCACAGCCCACGCGCCACCGCAGTCCGGCCAGAGGAGGGGACTGCCGAGCACGCCCACGGGCCAGCGGGCAGGAGTGGGTCAGGCTCCGGGCACAGGGTCGGGGGGCGACTCCGTGGGAACAGGTGGGCGGGAGAGGGATGCTGGGGTGAGTCTGCCTTTACCACCCAGAGCGAAGTGAGCACTGAAGTCACTATTCTCTTTGCCTAATTGGGTGGCACTGTGACCGACCACGCGGGAACCCACACAGCGCGCCCGGCCCTGGGGTGCTGGGCAGTGCGCTCCGGGTCCCCTCTCTGAAGCACATCCCCTTCTCCTTGGGAGCAGCAAGCGGCCAGCCACACCTTTCACAGCCTCTTCCACAGGGAGCCCGACAAACGCTGCGAAGTCGTCGGCGACGATCGAGGTGTACGCCTGCGACACCAGCGCGAAGGCTCGTCTCCTCGTTGCCTCTGTGGGTACAGGGAGTGACCGGAGAGCGGATGCTTGGACGGGGCACAACTAAATCAAATAAATGTGCTTGTCCGAACGTTGTGGGCAGGCCTAGGTCAGCCCAGACTTCTGTTCTCACGGACAGACGAGCGCCCAGCAGGCGAGGGCAGCTCACCTACTGCAGCACGAGCATGGACGTTTCTGACATGTCCTTGGACAGAGAACCTCAGGGTCAGAGAAAGGTCAATGCACCCAATACTGAAACCCTGGGGAAGTTTCATTTACATACGACCTCCCGAGAGGGCGCGCGTGGGACCCCAGGCCCACACCTCCACCTCCAATCACGCAGCAACGCGACAGGCCAGGCAGGCGAGTGAGAGGGAGTGAAGCCCACTGGCTGGTCTCCCTGCCCAGGGCTTCCGGGCACGTCCCAGCTCTCCGCCTGGCTGCCACATGCGTAGGAAATGCTCTGACTCCGCTTCCCACAGCTGACAGGCAGGTGGAAGGGATAAAGGAGCCCCCACGACGCATTGAGAATCCTCTCCGTTCCCGGGACATGGCCTCACAGCTCCACCCGCTTCCGCTCCACCTTCTGCTCCCCACCAGCCCGGCTCCCAGCAAGCCCACCCTCTCCTCCCCGCAGGGTGTACCTGACCGTGTGGCCTGCACGCCCTTCCCTCTGCTCCCCACTGTCCCCGGTCTGTCTGTGCACGTCCCGTGGCGCCCACATCACTGTGCTCTCACGGGGTGAGTCAGGAGGCCTGAGCGGTCCTGCCTCCCGCCACTTCCTCCTCCTCACGGCCCGAGCCTCCGGGCTGGTCACTCCATCGTCCTGCCTCACGTTCCCGAGAGCAGCGTACACCCTGAGGGCCATCTTCACCTCTGCCCTCCCATGAAGCTGCTGTCCCTCACCACAGCGATGACACTTAGTCAACAACCCTGCTGGCCAACTCCTCCCGAGCAGAGGCGGACGGGAAGGCAGGAACTAACCACAGACAGGCAACAATGAGAACACACACCAGGGAACCACTGCACAGATGTGTAAGAGTGACCCAGGAAGACTGGAAGCAAGTGCCGGGGTAGGAGAATGGACAGATGGAGGCAAGGATGAGTTTTATTGTCTCACCAGACTTATCACCTTTAAGCATCTATACTGGATTAACAAACAAAACAAATCTGAACCCCCAGCTTGAACTTATCAGAGTATTACAAGATTTCATTTTAGTAGCAAAAACCTGACAAGAGCAACTTCACCCTAGAATCCAATGAAAAGACAGCTCTGAACTTGATGTTATCACCAGCAAAAGAAAAAGAAGCGACAGGATTGTAACAAATCTAAGAAAGAATCCTGAACACTGCCCATTCACTCAGCAGAACACAGCTTTCTAACGCCTGCACGCCTGCCTTCAACCCTGCAGCACCCGGGGAACAGGGCAGGTCTGGTGCAACTCTTCACCACAAAGAACACTACCTCTGAGCGCCTCCATGATCGGCTGGACCGTCTCAGACCACTGGTGAGCGCCGATGGTTGTGTAGATTCCAGGGAAATCTCTCTGCCAGATTCTCTGTCCTACTGACCAAATTCCCCCAAGTTCAGAATTCGCCTGCAATAAATATTATTATTGCCTTTGAAGATACTCACTGTGTAGATTCATCAATAACTGTACCTTAAAACATAATTTAATAACATTTATTTTAAGAAGTGTGATTACTTTTAAGCTCAATAGTATAAAAAAGGTTTTTAAATGCTATGAAAAGTAGTCTATGTTTGATATACATTTTTACTTTAAAAGCAAATTAAGGCATAAGAATGCAGTCCAAAAATATTTCAGAATTAAGTCTGAGAATATGTTAAACTTTGTTTTTAAAAGATGTATTTATATTTGATACATATATATAAAACACACAAAATGTGTACTATTGACATGTACGTAAAAATACACATATATTTTTAGGACCAGAGCACAGCAAAATGGCTGACGACACAGGCTCCTAATCTAAGTGTCACACACTGCAGCCTCTCTGAAGGTGAAGCTCCCACTAATGTCATCGACCCCACGCACATAATTTATGGTTGTTCTTTATTTAAGCCCATGAAGCTGGAGGACCATTAACAGAATGACCTGGAAAGGAGAGAGTGTAAAAATACTAATTTGATCTGGTGCTGAATAGCAACAATGAACAAGAGTTTGGGTGAATTCTTGGTAATGTTCTGTGAATGTTTAAAAAATTCACTTCATATTTATGCCAGATACAGTGAACTGCTTGAAAGTAAAATTTACTTCATTCCACTTCGGAAAAAACTTTTAAGAGGTTCTTCCATCTAATTTTCTACTCAAGATAAGAAACCTAAAATGTTAATTAGCAAAAATAATCTTAATTCCGCAAGTAATCATCATTTCTAGGATATTGTCGCAAACGCGACCAGGTTCAGAGCAGTATCAACAGGAAGCTGTGCACTCAGTGACACTCACATGAAATCCCTCGAGAAATCTGATCGCTAAGAGCTGCGCACAGATTCCTGTAACATCCAAGGGAAACTAAAACTTCTGATTAGAAGAATCTGAAGGTCTATTACTAACTTTAATAACAATTCATGTGAACCACAGGGGACAGAAAACAAACGTGAGGTGGCCATTTAAATGAACGTCACTGCCACGTTCAAGTAGTAAGACAGAGAGAATACTTACAGACTTTATAGCAGGTGGTATTCTTTTCCAAAGATATCTTGCATTATTCCTAATTTGCAGCCCCCAAGAAAAAATACACAATTTTTAAAAATCATCTCAGTAAATGTTTAAAATTCTAGGTCCTAATATAAACATACAGAAGTATACTTTAAAATACTTGCTCTGGCCAGTTTGGCTCAGCAGTTAGAGCATAGAGCATCGGCCCGCAGACCAATGAGCTGTGGGTTCGGTGCCGGGAAGGGGCACACGCCTCAGTTGCAGTTCGTCCCCAGCTCTGGCTGGGTCATGCGGAGGCAACAGTCTATGTGTCTCTCTCATATCAATGTTTCTCTGTCTCTCTCTCTCTCTCTCTCCCCCTCCCTCCCACTATATCTGATAATGAGTGGGAAAATATCCTCAGGTGAGGAATAAAAAAACAAAAAAACTCGACATAATATACAGTGAAATTTAGTTTTATATGAATTTGTCCAAGGGAAGTAATAATTTTCCAGATTAAAAGACGAAATATTTTTACCAAAGTAACATTTTGTCATTTATAGTACATTTTTTATTAATGATCCAGAACTTAAATAAGGGAATAGTACACTAAAAACACAAAGATTTAAATAGAATTGACCAAATAATTTATTTATCTATAAAAATAAACAAATGTATAGCTTTCAAGGCCCTGGCATCCCCGGACAATACAGAGCACACACGCTTTTCTCTGTATCGACCCGCCCCCCACCGGTGGGCGGTTTTAAGGGTCTAGAAGCCTGGACTACAACAAACATAGGATGACAGGATTACAAACAAACAAGCAACCCAAATAATGTGTATAATATACGTGTAATAAAAATTTGGGTTAGGTTTTTTTTTTTATCCTCACCAGAGATTTATCTTCAGACAGAAGAGGGGCAAGAGAGAGAGAAACATCGATGTGAGAGAGACACATCGACTGGTCGCCACCCGCACGACCCCAACCGGGGCTGGGGACAAACTGCAACCAAGATACGTGCCCTTCGGGAAAACCAAAGCCGGGACTCTCCGGTCCACGGGCCGCCGCTCCAACCGCTGCGCCAAACTGGCCAGGGAGGTTTAGGATTTTAAAAGATATGAAAATAAGTTTAGAAGAATTTAGAACAAAAAGTCACAGAAATCATCACCGATGGGTTGTAGAACTATGAGTCCTTCCTATTCCTTTGCAGTTATGTTCTGACTTTAATTCAGTGAACATGAATTAAAAATAATTAACAAGCAAAAAATTTTCAATTTCACACGCATGTGGGGAATAAATTCCTCTTAGTTTTCTCTATCTTCCCTTTCAATTTCTCTTGATCTATTGATCAAACGTTAAGTAAATGAAGGTTATGAAAAGTTTCATAGAAAGACAAAAATGAAAAGGTCAATAGAGTCAAAGAAATTTGAAACGGACACTGTAGTTTCTCATAACAAATTGGAGTACTTTCTAGAAGGTATATGTAAAACAAGTGTATTTTAAAGTAAGTCAGCCTAAGCAACATTTACAATGTTGAACATAGATGTAGGAAGTACTATAATAAAAGGTCTAGCTCCTTGCGCCCGTTTCAGTGACGCCGTTTCGGTGTATGAATTACTTTCTGTGTAATCTCGAAACTGCTGCTCTCAGATCGAGTTGGAAAGTACTTACATGTCATTATGGAGCAGATATAAAGCTAAAAGCTGACCGTACACTGGGGGTGTAGCAATTCCTCCAGGAGCCTAGAAGGCCAAAAAGAAAGAGAATGACCTCATTTACACTTATATTAAAACACAGAGCATTAAGCTTAAATCTGTCATCAGCAGTGACTTATCTCCCTTCTGGGTCCGTGTCTCTATAGGAATGTGAATATTTATTTTTTAAAATATGTTTGCATTGATTTTTTAGAGAGAAGAAGGGAGAGAGACATTGATCGGCTGCCTCCTGCATGCCCCGTACTAGAGATGGAGCCAGAAACCTGGACATGTGTCCTGACTGAGAATCAAACTGGGCCCTCTCAGTCCATGGGACCAACTCAGTCCACTGAGCCACCCCAGCTAAGTGGAACATGAATTTTTAAATGGGATCCTTCCGCCCTGGCCGGTTTGTCTCAGCGGTTAGAGCTTGGCCTGCGGTCCAGAAAGACCCGGGTTCGGTTCCCAATAAGGGCATGTACCTCAGTTGCAGTTTGTCCCAGGCCCTGGTTGGGTTGGGCGGGAGGCAGCCACTCGAGGTGATGTTTCTCTCTCTCCCTCCCACTCTATCTGAACAAAAAAAATGGAAAAATGTCCTCGGGTGAGGACAAAAAATAAATAGATAGATAGATAGATAGATAAATAGATAAATAAATAAATAAATAAATAAATAAGATCCTTCCCCAGGCCTCAAATTCTTAGATAAGTGATCCTACTGTCATAAGAAACAAATACTTCCAACAGATTCCTTAAAGCATTACGATTCTGCCCATTATATCACATGTGCTGAATATCTAAGTAGATGCAAAATAAACAGAGAAAAAAACCCGTCACAGCTGAGTCTGAGATGTCTCACCTCACTCAACGTTAATTTATTTAAACAACATCCATCACGTGTCTGTTAGCCAGCTGCTGTTTCGGGCTAACGTGTTTACTCGTGGTTCTTACACGCCTTTGTAAGGAAGAATCTGAACCCTAACAGCTGCATGACGTAGCTCTCCCCCTACTGACGACGCGGCCCCGCCGCCCCACGACCGGGGACGAGATGTGAGGTCGAACACGACGGCGGGGTCCAGGGTGTGAGCAAGCCGCGCAGCATCTGCGGGCTCTCGAGGTGAAACGGACCCCGAGAAGCCGCAGCGAGCCCGGGCCACCCGGCCCGCCTAGGCGCAGGCGGCGGCCCGGCTCCCCGCGCCCGCCCCCAGCCCCGCCCCCGGCCGCAGGCCCCAGGCCCGGTTACCCTGGAGACCGGCGCCGCCCGGGCCCGGAGGAGACCCCGCCGTTTCTCCCAGCGCCACGCGAGTCGTTACCTCCAGCTCCTGGTTCTCGCACTGATCCAACAACTTTTTGAAACTAAAGGCATTTTCTGCCATTACGGCCACGGGCATCTTCCCAGCCGGTCCCGCCGCACCTTCCCGACAAGCAGACCCCAGGCTGTCCCCCGGGGGCGTCGCGCCCGTAATGACGTACACGCCGCCGTCGCCGCCGCGTGGGCCCAGGCGCAGGCGCAACGTCGGTTCCGGCGCGTCGTAGGACGTCGCCGCGGCCGGCGAGGGGCGCCGCCGCTCTGGCCGGCGCTCTCGGTGCTCTGGAGGACTGGCTGGCCACGTGGGAAGGGGCGCCGCGTGCGCGCGTCCACGGCCCCGAAGGGCGGCTTTAGGGCGTGTGTCAGGGCGACTCGAGGTCTCCTCTTTGAGGCCCAGGAGGCGTGCAAATTTAGAGGTTCGTAAGGGAGCTTTGGTTCTGCCCCCACACCGCCCCGTCGGCCCTCCCCATCTCTGCAAAGGGCTCGCCGTCCGTGCACGTGGGGACCCGCAGCCTGGGCAGCCGGGCTCTGCAGACCTGCACGCCGGCCTCCTCCAGGCCTCTCTCCGCGCAGCCGCAGGGCCGCCAGGCCCTCGAAGCCGGCCGATCTCGGTCCTCTCCGCTCGGACCCCCCAATCCAGCCCTTGCAGGGCTCGCAGGCCCCCGGGGGCAGTTCCCAGGCCTCTCCGACCTGCTGCGCGGGTGCGGGAAGCCCGCCTCGCCGCAGCTGTGGGCTCACCGGCCTGGCTGCTCTCTCAGACCGCGGGCCGAGGCCGGGCGTGTCCCCGCTGCGGGGCTGCCTCACCCCTGGGCGCCGAGCACCTTGGAAGTGCGAGACCCCTCGTTCCAAAACCGGGTGGGGGGCGCCCACAAACATGACACAGAGTGTTTCCTTTTCTTTGCGGTGCCTCTCAACTTTTCATAGCGTTTTATATCGACTGTTGACAACATTCTGAGTACTAACAGCAAATTATTGGCCTGGATTTTACCACCCGTTTTATACGGCGCAGTGCCGGTTTTAAACACGGATGCAAGGGCGGGTCACGCACGCATGGCCTTGCAGCAACCGCACCGTTTGTATGAAACACCCGGTGTGCGCGTGGGTTTTGTTCTCATCCAAACCATAAAAATGCTGCACAAAACGAAGTGTTTTTATCTAATTTAATCTATTTGTTAAAATATGTTTTATTGGTTTTTTTAGACAGGAAGGGAGAGGGAGAGAGAAACATCTGTCTGCTGCTCCCTGCAGTCCCCTTACTGGGGATCAAGCCTGCGGCCTGGGCATGAGCACTGACTGGGAATCGAACCAGTGACCTCTTGGTGCAGGGGACGATGCTCAATCCATTGAGCCACACCAGACAGGGCGAGCGAGCTTTTAAGGCACCTGCCCTACCAGCACTTTCCACCTTGGCTTTCTGACGAATAAAGGACTGAAAGGGAAGGGCGTTCCCTTTCCTGCCAGGTTAACGTTATCATTCTCAGTACCGGCATAGGAACACTTCAGCTCACTACCCAGAAGTAGCGTAAGAAAGAATATGATAGGGTCCCTTGGCTGTCAGTGTTTTGGGGACACCGTTGTCTTCACTACATTTGTGAAGCAGGTTCAGATTCTAAGGGGAGATGGGGCCTCTCAGGGCTGTCACCACCCAGCAGACACAACGGGACTTTGGACTCCCTTTTTGTCCCGATAATAAAACACACATGTTTGCATGAGGTAGTGCATACAGATTGCGTGGCTTCCGTGATTGCACATGTGAGTTCAACGCACTTGTGTTTGTGTTACAAACTGGCATTGCACAGTATGAAAACGGACAGTGCAATTTAGTCATAATTTAAATTTTTTGCTTAACGAACAGTTTCCATGGGGAAATCATTGTGGTTAGCAATTCTTTGGATGGAACCTAAAAAAAGAAATAAGTCTTACACAAGTCCCTCGAGTTGACATTACATGGGAAGGTTCCCATATGCCAGAGAATGAAGCGGCCACGTGTCATCGACTGTGCAAAGAGAACGGCTGAAGACAAAGTAATTCTCAGATCACTTGGCATCAATTGGAAGAGGAGGGTTTCGAATTTTCAACGTGTAATGATGGCTTCCAGCCCATTTTGGGGTAAAGAAGAAATTCGGTGGGATCAGTTGCCCAGAGGTATGATCATGTACAGAGAAAAACGATGGTTTTTAAGCTTTGGCAGCTGAAGACTGCTGACTGGGTCGTTCTCTGCTGAACAGAAAATCCCTGAGGTGCTTTGGAAAAACAGTCACAGGTCAGAGGTAGAATTGGGGTGTCATTCAGAGGACAACATGTTCTTTAACAGACAGAGACAAGAATTTCGGGGTTGGAGACGAGCTGAAAAGGGGAAGGAGACGGTCTCGGGAGAGAGGGAAGAGGCCTTCGGGTGTGGTGAACGGAGCAGTCGGTCCCAGCTGGGACCTTGGCCTGCGCTCAGAGGGCTGCCAGCGTCAGTGGGGGCGACGTTTCCAGGGACGTGATGGCTGGCGTTCCATTTGGAGTTGTCACTGTGTCGGGCTGACCTGTCTTTACCCCGAACGTTCAGCAGCAGACGGGAGAAGTGAGGGGCAGGGTAAAGCCGTGTGGGGGAAGGCAGTCGTTTGTGGCCTGAGCAGGGCAGTGGAGAGGAGCCCGGAGGGGAGCCCCGCTCCCTGGAGACGCTGCGCGCGGGGAGGTGGAGGCTGCTTTCCCACTGCGCCTGGCGTAGGTCAGGGGCAGCAGGCGGAGGGGAAGCACGGCCCGGGGTTGGAGGGAGTAGGTCTCACTCAGTGTCCTGGCTTCGCTCCCTGTGCCTGCTGCCCCCCCAACTCTTCTCAGAGGAGAACCATCATTGAGGAAGCTGGAAATTGGAGCATGGCTCATTTAGAATTCTGAAATTTCACCTGGTTCTCCAAAAATCCAGTGCAAAACTATTAGAACTAATAAACGGGTTAAGCAAGATTGATGGATAGACGATCAAGACACAAAATCAGTTACATTTTTACACAGTAACAACAAACAAATTAAGAAGACAACTGTATCCTAGCATCAAACAAATAAAATAGGAACACATTTGACAAAGGAAGTGCAAACTTTGTACTGGGAGGACCAGAAAACATTGTTCAAGGAAACTGATGAAGACCCGCCTGAGTGGAAAGACATTCCTTGTTCGTGATTTGGAAGATTTTATACTCACATTCAGACGTACAATTCCTATACTCGCAATTCCTATCAAAATCACAGCTGGTGCCTCTGCAGATGTTGACGAATCATTAAAGTCCTGTAAAAAGTCAGAGACACGGAATGGACAAAACAATCCTGAAAACAAAGAACAATTAGACTCACTTTCAATCTAATGTCAAAACTTAGCTACATAGTACAGCGATCAAGACAGGTAGGTCTTGATATGTAGGTCAGTAGTAATACGAGTAGACACATAGATCAATGGAATAAAAGAGGCCAGAAAGAAAAGAAAACAAAAAAAAACCTTGCATTTACAGCCCAGTGGTTTTTGAGTAGGGTGCTAACACCACTCCATGCGGAAAGGGAACAGTCTTGTTCACCAGTGGTACCAGGACCACTGCATATCCACACACAGAAGCTTGGAGTTGGACCCCTGCCTCCTGCCACATAAAATAACGAACTCACTGTCTCGTAGACCTCCGTGTAGGAGCTAAAGCGACACAACGGTTAGGAGGAAGTTCTCACGACCTGGAATCAGGCAGTGGCTTCTTAGGTACAACACCAAAAGCACAGCAACAAAAGAAAGAAAAAGCCCATAAATTGGACAGTATCAAAATTAAAACCTTTTGTGAATCATGTACTGGATGAAAGACTTGGATTTTGGAATAAATGAGTAACTCCTACGACTCAACACTAGAAAGGAAAATCACCCAATTTGAAAACGGGCGAAGGACTCAGTTGCTTTTCTCCAAAGAAGATGCCCACGTGGCCAATGAGCACATGAAAAGATGCTCAGCTCAGTGTGTCGATGCGGGTGTGAAGTTGGACCCTCACGGTGTGGGTGCCTCTCGTGGTGCAGCTGCGGACACACCTGGAAGTCTGGGCCAACGCGCTGCCTCATGGGCCAACGTACTTTGCACTAGTGAGAGGGCTCGGGTGAGCCCTTTGCCTCCTCTCCGGGTCCCCCTCTGTGCCTGTAAGACCAAGGCGGCCGTCCTGCGAGCAGCTCTGAGCACTGAGGGAGCCGAGTCTCAGTCCACTGTCGGCTAATCCACGGTGATCACTGTTAATGATATGAAAGCAGCCAGATGAAGGCTAGGTTATGACGTCCCTTATTTGCACAGGCTTTTAAGACACATCTTTTTAAACCTTTGATACAGCAAACGTTATATCTACATTTTCTGGAGGTCAGATAGTCCTGGGGAAGTAACTTCCAGTTTTCCCTTCTCCAAAGTAGAGGCTTTCAAAAGGCAGGTGAGGCTGCAGGCTGGCTGGTGCGATCTCAGACCTGCCCACCAGAGGGTGCTGCCGCACCGTGTAGGATCTTAACGTTCCCTCCGGGCTGGAAGGTGGACCGTCTGGGGCTGAGCAGTTAGGTGTCGGCTGATTTCATCTTCTGTTTTCAGCACTGGGCGGTTAATTCCTCCTCCTCAAAATTACTTTTTCAAATGGAAGCCTGGGGTGCTGTGCTTTTGAGGGGCCTCTTTCTATTCTTCTTAAAAACAAATGACCAATAGAAAAACGTCAGCCAGAGAAATGCACTCCACATACAGGAGCAATAAAGAGTGAGTACCGTATCGGCTGCTTCAGCCTGAGTGTGAGATACGGGGAGTCGGTTTCAGGGTGT